AAAATATTACAACATGTATAATAATTTTTGAAGGTCAAAAAGAGGCATCAGTGTCAGTTTCTGTCTGTTTGCCAGACAGTTTAAAACTCTTTACAGTGTCTTTACCTGCTGACCCTGTCTTTAAACTGCATTAACATCATGTGGCCTGTAGGGGGGTAGTTAGGATGTATGGAGAATTTTGACAGATATCAAATGAATGGCCAAGCCGACCTTTAAAGAGTTTCACTTCATAAAGAAAGTTGGATAATTTGGCAACATAACTCTGAGGATGTTGCATGATCACATTAATTTAATAACTTGGAATTATCAGGTGATGGTTAATCTGACTTTGAATGTTTACATAGACTACAGAAATGGGTTACTGGGACAAAAAAATGCACATGATTCTGTCAATAGTTGTGAGTTCTTCCTAGAGGTAAGTGAAGGAAAAGTCAAACTTCCTTTCCTGTTTTCCACCCAGCATCGCTGCCCTTTAGGGTTCTGCCATCAGTTGTGGTGATGTACGAGTTGTTACGTGTTCAGAACATGCTCAGTTGTGCTCTCATTCTCTGACTAATTTCCATGAGCAGAAACCAGCAAGCTTCCATACAGCAACCATCTGCTTTCGGTCTCATTCACATCCTTCATTCATCGAGCGTGAAATTTGTTTCTGCTTCAATACAAAATTCTGCTCCCCAACGCTCTCGCTGCTGTTGCTCGCCATGTTTGCCGTTTCTTTTCCTTCTTTCATTTCCGTTTCCGCTCTTGCGCTTTACTCATGAGCAGATGTAATGGAACAAAAGAAACCAGATTATAGGGTATACATGCACTGAATAAAACAGATTAAAGGGCAAAAAAAAAAAAACAGGGGTGTTAATCTGTCTTTTTAAAAACCGATAATGACTTCTATCTGATGTGGAATATTGGGTTATGCTGTTTGCAGGACTACTTGAGTAATCAGGTAACTCCAGAAATCAGATGATAATCAGTTTATTGGTGGGAATGTACATGCACTCACTACGATATCTCCTTGTGCAGCGAACAATAAACCAATGGTGGCCTCAAAAAATTGACTTGCTAGCTGCTAAATGCCACCAGTATTTGCCAATATTGTCCATGTGTTGTCTATCGGACACTGCGTCCAATGAGTGAGTGAGGGGTTATCAAAGGTTGTTTGCTTTCACCTTGACTTGTAGAAACTTGATTTAGTGTCAAAGCAAGTATTTCAGAGAAGTTAAACCATGTTAGCAGTGCAAAGTTATGATATTTCATTGTCTCTTGGATGCGGACAGTTCGTAGGTGTGTGTTGAAAGGATGTGTGTCTTTAATTAATTAAAAAAAATGTCCCTTGGGCAGAAATTCTTTCCAAACGGATCGTATTCTTTCTATTTAAACATTCTTATTGACCCTGTGAAGTTATTTCACAGCAAGACTTGGAGGAATTCAATACTGTTCTTAACAAAGCACCTAAATGTAAAGCTCTGACTTTTTTTACTTGCAGAATAATAAAAGAAGCTGCTGTTTAGCAGACTCTGAGTCTGTCTCATTTTTCTGTTCCATATTGGCAACAGGGCCGAGGACACCGAGATCACCATCTTAAATAACATTATGGGGAATTTTGATAAGTTTTAATTGGGGTAAAAATTTACATTCTGCATTTCTAGACATATCTTTGACGATTCTTGAGATGCCAGGAGGCTCACTATAAGCATGGATGACTTGAGGTGAAGAGTGATATTCATTTTTCACAACGTTGTGTTGTAGTATCTTAAATCTGACTCTGAGAGAAAGCATGTGCACAACCAAACAAATGACCGTTTATTAGATCAGGTCTTTCATTTCATTATGTTTTTTTATTATTATTATCATTGAGACTTGGTGGAAAGTCCACTTTACTTAAATAGGTAGATATGTGGGTTTCTGCAATGAGACTTTGGACTCATGACCTCAGTGAAATCCTGGCTGCAGCCCTGATTCCTGATTGGGAGTCTCCCCTCCTTTCATTCAGTGATGGACAGTGAGGCCACTCAGTATTCTTCACCTCCTCCCACCTAACTCCCATCTTCCTCAGACTCATTCTTCCCTTTCTGCTCCTGCCACCAAAAACTCCCCGGTTCCTGTGGAGAGGCTGGTTTTGTGTGGCCCCGGCACTGTCCCGTGTTTATCACTCCTCTGACGGGTTACCCGGGTCCCCCTCGCACCTGCGCCGCTCCCAGGTCTCTACAGGAATGCGCTGGGGCTTGTAATCGCCTTTGTGGGGGCCATTGAGTTGTACGGCTGAGTGAAACTTCCCAACCTCACAGCGCGCTGGCCGCTGAATGGGGCTCAGCGTGGGGCGGCTCTCCAAACCGCGGCCGCTGCCAAATTCCTACAGTGGCGCTCCACAATCACTCCCACACAGGCCCAGATATACCGCCAGGCAGGGGGCGACGAGGAGGGGTGGGAGAGGGGGGGTGTTTTGGGCAGAGAGATGGAAAAGTGTACATTTAACTCCAAACAAAACGGACACTTTGTGCGTAAAACGGCCACTCTGGATGAAGATGGCACGACCATTGCTTTTTAACCCTCTCTGATCAGTTTTTGGTGAAACATTTTGATGACAATAAACCCAGTAAATCTTTTTTTGTTTGTTTCTGTTATTTTTTCATTTTTATCTCACCTCTTGTAAAAAGTTCCAGTGCAGATGCTATTCCAACAACGGAGAAATCTGAAAAATAAAAAAAAGCAAAATAAAAAGGCGTTTGAATGCTGCACAAAGTTTGAAAATAAAGCAATTTCTCATAACTTTCAGGACATTTGTGCTGCGTTTCGGTGCGTTAGGTCTGTGTGCCGGCGTGCAGCGTGGTAGCTGTGGGTAGATAGAGCAGCACTGCAGGATTAAGAGGCAGCAAGATTGTTAAACATGTCAACGTGTAATTGCACGATAAGGCCCTTCCGAGGAATTCATTGGCCCAGTTGCTTTCTCTATTCCGCGCTAATCTCGCCCGGCACATTCGCTCTGTGCAATCTGTCTCCATAATCTTCTGTGACAGAGCGGGCGACGAGAGCAGGCTGCCTGGTAATTTTTTTAGGAAAAGGGGGGGAGACGCGGAGAAAATATGCAGAGGCGTGATAAAGTGACGCTAATTATCCCCATTTAGGACAGGGAGTGCAAGGGATCGGGGCTTTACGAGGCACCGAGTGTGCGCTGGAGCTGATGGCCTCCTAGCACGGAATATATCGGTGGCTACAAGATAAGAGTATCGCGCAGTGGAGAGATTTATTGGCCGGTCAGCTAAACACACACACACACGCGCGCGCAGACACACCACTTTACGCACACACGCAGACCGCGCAGCCAGTGCCTGTATACATCGCAACCTACACTTACCCCTCTTGCACCTTAAGGTGTAATTTATTCGGGTTAAATTTGCCAGAACGCTCTTCTTTTTAGCCTGCCGATGCGCCGTGACGCGCTCCGCCTCTCCGCGCTTTCACTGTTAATCCGCATCTCTTCACATCAACAGATAAGATGGAAACAGATGAAAAAAAAAAAAAAAAAAACACCGAGAAGCAGCAGTGCGCAGAGATGTCTCCACAGATGCGCTTTCTTTTTTGCGCTTTCTTTTGGAATATGAAAGTCATTTCCAGACATTGTTCTTTGGGGTTTCTTTCACCAGATTAATGCGCAGCCTGGAGACGTTACACGCTCTACTATGAGGCCTAACAGGTTTAATTGACATACCATGCAAGTCTTCATCAGTGTGAAATAGGCCCTTTAACTATATATTGGAGATTAATTGATTTTTTAAATGCCTAAGTATGCATAAATGTCCCTGATTTGCATGTGTATGGATATTAGTCTGTATCTCCATACGAGGCCCACAGGCAACATACACACACACACACACACACACACACACACACATTCACGTCAAAACCAGCTGTGCGTGGCCTGTCAAAAAGTGACGTCATATTTAAAGGTTTTTTTCCTCATCTTTATAAATATTCTGAATGGACACACACACACACACATGTATATATCACCGTTTTCATGAACATGTAGCAGTGCAGGAAGGTATCAGACCCCAAAGAGTGACTGAAAGATGGAAAATCAAAACATCTCCAGCTGGGAAATCTGATGAGTCATCAATGACCACATCAGCTGATTGTCACCATGTGGTCACGAGAGGTTTAAATCCGGTCTGTGCACGTGAACAAGTGAATTAGATTTTTAATTACTTCCAGTCTTGGTTTTGCCTCTTTTTTTTAAAGGTTGTTTTCTATTTGGACTGAATGAATTTAGGTTTCCTTTTCTCACTTCACAACTTCTTTTAGAGATGACATCATTCAAGAAATTCTAGTTCACCTTCTCCTTTTGTTCCCTTTCATTCCTGCAACTCTTTAAACATGAACCTGGAGAAAACTTGGTGGAACCACAGTCACCACAGATATCTGCCGCACTTGTTTTCCATCTTCATTAATCACTGATCAGTCAGAAGACTCAAAGTGAGGGCTTTCAGATTTGAAGTATTAAAGATCTGAGTTGTGATATTGTCTTGTTCACCACCAGCAGATTTTGATTAATTAATTTAAAAAAAGTATGATATTTGAGTTTACGTTTTATTCTTGGTCAAAATCCATAAAATGTAAATGCCAGAAAAAACATCGATTATTATAAAGACTCCACATCCCAGGGGCTGTTCTGATCAAGTGTGAAATCATTTATATTCAAAGTTTTGCTGTTACTCTTATATGTGAGCTATTTATTTTACTTTTCATTAGTCATTTGATGTTCATTTTAATTTTCTGTTACTTTCTTGATTTTATTAGATTTCATATCAAATTTAAATATATATATTTCCCCCAATACAGTCCTAATTATAACGGTTTTTTAATTAGAAATAAAAAAAACAATAAAAATATGACTTGAAAAACGTTATTAGAAAATGCAAATTTGAGAAATCAGAAATCACATATATTTTCTGCTCATTTCTAAACTGAACCTTTATGCCTTTCTTTTTCTTCTTTTTTAATTTGGTCTGCTTCACTGCACGTTTATTTTTATTATTATTTATTATTTGGTCATTGTTTTGTTGTTTTTGCGGACACAGTCTAATCTCTTCAGCCACTTTAAAAGGGAAAATGAAATATTTTGAACGTCAATTTTTGTAGAAAACAAATCCTGAATTGAGGCCTTCATGGACAGTCTTTGTAGTCAGTTATTTTGAGAAAATGTTCTTCCAAAATTTTGCCAAAATAATGATGATTTAAAATCAGAACAAAGCTTGGGAATAGGGTACTTTATAGAAGTTAATCATTTTGCCTGGCGTTAAAATTTTCCATTCAAGCTTTAAACAAGCTTGGCCTGCATGAAACTAAAATGTAACAAAGATATAAAAAAATATTTTTAGTTTGTTAAATTTCTAATGTATAAATGTTTGGAACCCGAAACAAGCTCAACCTATCGATAAGGTTTCCTCCAGGGCCTCAAGTTTTTACGCACAATTACGCACAGTTAGAAAACAATTACTCCACAATTAGGCCAACTACAAGCTCGTGGGATCTGTGCGCAGCAGCGGTGTGAAATTTTAAACAGGTGGTTATTTTACTCGAGAGGAGATTCAGTGATATTCATGCGTCCTAAAGGCGGTAAAGGAGGTGGAAAATCATCCAAAAATAATCAATGTAAGACGGTCGTCTTAAGAATCAAAGCAAGATCTTGTGAAATTTATTCAATTCTTCTTCATTGCAATAATCAGGGCTTTTCACTTACAGAAAAGCACTTAAATTACAACAGCAGTTGCCCGTCATCTTTGAAATATTAAAATTATTCACAATTTACAATAATTAGTGTTACAATAAAAAGATGGTTTCCAAGAATTAAGACACAGGCTTCTGCAAATGAACACAAATGTTTTGAAAGAATGTGACTTTCCCATTTCTTTTAAAGCACTTTCTTAAGATTATGACACGTTTTCTCATTTTCAATAACTTACAAGAAGTCCCCTCCCCCCAAAAAAGAAAATTATGAGACAATTAAACCAAACACCAGCATGTGAAGCTGGCGGATCCCTCAACTAAAGACTGAAGTGATGGACAAAAAGATGAGAGCACAATAACCAATATCTCAGCTTCATATTCGTAATATAATTCCACTGGTGGCTAATCCAAAAGAGCCGAGATGAATCTGCTATTTACCTTCATTTACAATAAACATTCTGTACAAAATGCAGGTAGTTCTCGGGGCCGGGTGGTTTAGAAAAGAGGTAAATATTTGGTTATGTGTTCGTTTGCAGTTTTCAATTATTCGGGGAGTCTAAATGTGTGTTAGAGGGACCGTCCCGTTCACTCCAGCCGCTGCGCTCTGGTAATGCTGCGGCAACGCGTGGAGTCTACTCTGCATTGACGGGTCCCCCGGCTCTCCGGTCGGTAAATACATGCTTATCATCTCTCTCAAGTCTCCGGGGCACGGACCCCGAGAGTGTGTGCTGCTGACGGGAGGGCTTACACTCGGCTCCGACTTCACCAGCGACCCTAACGTTCCCATGGCAGCCGAGGAGGAGACGCCGGAGCCCTGGTGCTGCGTGTAGGTGATCCCGCCGTAGCCGGATGGAGAAGCGTTCATGTAGCTCTGAGAGTTCGAGATGGGGCTGTACTGCAGCGCCGTCATGTCGTAGCGGTGCATGGGCTGCGGGTTGTGTGAGTGATGGTGGTGTGAGTGGTGGTGGTGGTGCGCCCCGCTGCCCGGGTGCTGGCTGTAGGCGAGCTGAGCCTCCTGCATCATTGCAGCGGCCGCTGCGGCTGCAGCCACCTGCCCCGAGTACGCACCGTTCGCCCAGCCGTTCATGTGTGCGTAGCCGGAGCTGGCCGAGCCTCCGTGACCCCCGGGGCTCTCTAACCTCTGCCCGACCCCGGTTGAACTCATTCCAACTCCTAAACCAACTCCACCGCCCCCGGCGGGCCCAGATAGCAGTCCACCGGCGAGGGAGTATTTGTCCTTTTTCAGCAGCGTCTTGGTCTTCCTTCTGGGCCGGTACTTGTAATCCGGATGCTCCTTCATGTGCATGGCGCGCAACCTTTTCGCCTCGTCGATGAAAGGGCGCTTCTCAGCCTCGGACATCACCTTCCACTCGGCGCCCAGTCGCTTGCTGATCTCAGAGTTGTGCATTTTGGGATTCTCCTGTGCCATCTTCCTGCGCTGCCCGCGGGACCAAACCATGAACGCGTTCATCGGTCTCTTCACGCGTTCCTGGTTCGCTTTGGACCCGCTGTTCGGCCCCGTTTGCCCCGTGGTTGTGTTCGTTTGGGGGCCGGGGGAATGGAGGTCAGTTTCCATCATCATGCTATACATTCACCTGGATTTAAACTTCACCACCAACAGAGAAAAAGTCTTTTTCAAGATAGCTCAGGCGCGCACAGGGTCGAGTGCGCACAGCAGGGCTGGCTTTCAAGATGGAAATTCTAACCCAAAATGAATCAAACACGAGAGGAAAATTAATCCGAAAAGGGAAATAAAATTTTCTCCAACCGGTATTTCAGCCTGTCTTCACATCCACTGTGAGAGAATGCGCATTGGAGCCACTTTCCCTGTCGGAGTTGAGAAGTTAGTTAAAGCGGCGGCCATATGATGCACAGTGACAGCGGTTAAATGAGCCACAAGCGGCCAATGAGGCTCTAGCAGCAGAGTGATTTGCATGGCGTTTGGTCAGGTGACTAGAGGACCATAGAGGAAGAACACACCGGGGGAGGAGGAGGAGAGGGAGGAGTAGGAGGAGACAGGGAGGAGGGTCAAACCCACAAATAGCACAAGGCATTTGAAATTTCCAAACAGCTCTCTGAGACTTCAGCTAAACAAAAATAACTAAGACTTGTTAGCAGCCAAAAGGTGGGTGCTGCCTGTGTTTACGATGAGTCAAACAACTCCACATATTTTTTTTTTTTTTAAACAGACGATTAAATTTAACTTCCAGTTTGAAATATAGCTTTGATGTTTGGTATTTTAAATCCTCAGATTTCAAAAGAAGTTATTTTAAATGATTCTTTCACCCTCCATGTTTCCTCACTTAATCTGTGAGGAAAAGACAGACACTTCCTCCCATCTTGAATAGATTCTCTGATTCACTCTGCGTCCTGGAAGCCCGCGTCAAAAATATATTTTTACGCACAACAGTCAGTTCAATCTCAGACGACTTGATGCTCAACCAGCGCCACAAAAACTCGTTTTTAGACCACCTCTCCCTCCCTCTCTCCTCCCCTTTGCGTGCCTCTCTCTCCCTCCAGGTATGTAATTAAGGTATGCAGTAATAGCAGGTGTAAAGGAGAGAAATTACACACTCGATGTAGAAGATGATGTGAGAGATGTGTTAAGAAACTGTTGGTCTAAGAGAGGAGAAGCCTGTGAAGGATGGATAGCCATATAATGACGTGAAATTGACGGGGCAAAGCGCTGTTACCGCCGTCTGCTGGTGATGGTGTACGCGAAAGATGAGAAGAAAGCGCTCTGATGTTGTTGATTTTAGTCAAGTTTTTATGCGTCTGATATACTCTAGGCCCTTATTTCTCAAGTGAAGCAAACCAAGAGTAAAACTGTCCATGCGTCTTCCACTCGGCGCATATTTAATCCAGATTTCACAGCTGACCTCCTATGAAAAGCCCAATCAACCTCTAATTGAAAGGGAAAACGAAATACCACTTCCCGCGGTGAGACTAACGATTTAATCATTCCACCGTTCTTCACTGTGTGTGTGTGTGTGTTTCTTTTTTTTTATTCTAATTGGAGCTTAGTTTGATGGAGCTTCGTGTTCAGGACCTGAGGGAGCGGGATCACTCGGACGGATCCATGCGTCTTTGGGTAATGGGGTTAACGGGAGATCACAATGGTCAATAAAACGTTTCCAGTGGTCCAGGGCCATGTGGCTGGAGGCCCGAGGAGGAGATGACAATGTAATGATGACACCCGGAGAGCTGCGAGAGCCAGAGAAGCCTGTACAGCACATAAACAAACAAAAACATGATGAAATGGCTCCTTGGAATAAACAAATTACAACGAGAGGCGGCGAGTTAAACCACAATGTGACAGCCAGAATTGAAATGTATGTATTTGGATGATTGCATTTTAAATTAAAAAACAGAGAGTGCTATTCTATTGACCAAAGAAATTTTGGATTTTGGCACATTTTTCTAATTTTTTTTTAGCACAACAATAATTACAGATGACTTATTTGATATATCCTCTACAGTAATTAAAACGCAAACTACTGACAACACATCCAGGGTGGTTACGTTCATTTAATTTCCTGTAGTTTAATTTAAAATAGATTTTCTCCAGAGTGTAAATTTAAGCATCAGCAGAGGGGTTTGTGTTCATTGAACGGGATATTTTTGTTTACCAGAGAGGCGCTGGGATTGTGTAGAATTAGCCTTCACAGTGACACCGGGACCCCAGTGGCCCTCCTGTTTACTCTCTCTGTCATCCCCCATCACTCACTCCCTCTTTTAACAAACCTCTTTCAAACCTCCTCGCTCCTTTGTGCGCGCGGACTGTGCAACAGGATGCGAGCATTGCGATGATGGTGCACGACAGGGGCCAGGGGTCAAAGCTGTTAAAGCGACGCCCCCCTTAACCGCACAAACACCCAACACACAAACACACACCTACCATAAATAAATAAACAATACCGAATAATAAAAAACAAAAACTATTTTAGTCAAGTGACCGTGTTCATTTTTTAAAATACATTTTACACCGTCTCATGCGTAAAGAAGAAATAAAAGATTCAGATCCTGAGCAGTCTCCTGTAACTGCGGTCTTTTTTCCGTAAGTTGAAAAAAAATCCACGGGCAGTGCGTTTCGTGGAACCGTGTGGAGTTGGAATTGGGGGAGAGAGAGAAAGAGAGAGAGAGAGAGAGAAAGAGAGAGAGGAGTTGTGATTACTAGCTGATAACCTCCGGACAAAAAATTGAGTAAAACGTGAGAAATCGAGCTGAAACACACACACACAGACACACACACACACACTCACAGATGTGGTGATCAGCCCCCCAACCACTTCCACGCGCCTCCCCATAACTAAAAACACGTGTCACCTCATCATGTCACTCATGTTGATGAGCTGCGAAAAAAAAAAAAACTATTCCCAGCATTTAGCAAACACTTCCATAATTTACGGCGTGCAACAGATTTTTCTTTTGCAGTTACCGCGGAATGCAGTTGGCACGGATCACTGACCGAAAATTTTACATCGGGAAATCAACCTGAGTCGCTTAGAGAGCAACTGGTAGCAACACGAGCTGTGTGCTCTGCAGCCGAGTCCTGCTGGATCTCACTTGTCCCAGAATAAAACGGCAGCCAGCAGCCATTCAAACACACCATACCTGCACCGGAATAAACACAGTAAAGCGCAAAACCATTCAGTCAAAGGCTGCCAATGAGAATTATTTCTGCGTAATCGTGCGTATTTTTTCGGTAAATTACATTTTACGCACAGAAAAAACAGGCAGAGACTTAAACATATATCCTCTTGTGTGTGGCATTGTTATGTGCAAACTTACGCATGTTTCCCTGGTCCCCTTTACTCCAGACCAAGTGGGCAGATTTCTCCCTCCATCCTCCTAAAGCCGTCCTAAACCCTCCAAAGCCGCATGTAAGACCGCTACTCCCACTACAATCTGGCCGCTCAAGTGCCAAGGCCATCCATCCATGCATGCATGCATGCCCGCCCGGTGCCCAAACCCACCACTCCACACACACTGAGGGGCAGAGACAAGAAGAAATGACATTTATTATACACTCTAAAAAAGACAATTCCAACTTATTGTTTCTCTCTGTGAAAGGGGGCTTGCTTCTAACATAATGAAGCGTCTTTTGTGTGGCACAGAACAATACAAAACAAGTATTCTAATAAATAGCCGCTTTTTTTGGCTCTTCAGGATGAATGGGGCTGGAGCGGCGGGGTTCTAAAAGGCAGCTGTGCCGCATTCGGGGAGGAGGGGCGAGGAGTTGAGGAGGAGCCCCGCAACCCTTTTGCCTCCTCCTGGATACTGAGTCATTTACTGATCCTGGAGCTGAGGAGGATGCAAAGAGAAGAGGAGGTGTAGGGAGAGAGGTATTGACTTTGGAGGCTGTGTGTTTTTTTTCACTTAGAGCATAAACTGTGTCCAACAATGTGATCCCCAAATCACCAAATATTGCTTCATACTGTGAAGTCTGCAGCATCCAATTAGATGCACTTTATAGGAGCCTGCACAGCTTGCAAGCATGTGGCTCTGACAGCTTCTACACACAGAGAGACACATACACACACAGACACATGCGCAAAAAATACACACACTAAATCTACAGAGCAGGTACATACATGCTACAAACAAGAGCAGGGCTCAGTTAAGGTCTTATTTCTACATGCATTTTCACACACTTTTAGTGCCTGTTTCCATCACATACATGCAAACACACACAGCCTGAAACATGAGACCAGAGAATATGTCAGACAACGCACTGATCCTAGACGTAAAAACATCTTAAAAACATAGACTGGTTTCAGGTAAATTATCATATGTATCATGTGACACCTACAAAAAACGTCACTGCTGAGAATGTTGTGGAAGCCAATAGCAAAATATCAGAAATCAGAGTTTTTCTTTGAGTTTAAAATTTCGTTTTTCTATCAGAATGGAACAAGTATGAGATACTTGGTAGTGGGTTTGAGATCCATGAAGTAAAGAATGTTTAAAGACAGCTCTACACACTCATACAGGTCTGTTAAATCACCTGTATTCGGTTTAGAAACTCAGACTTGATCACTTCAAAGCTTCGTCACTGTTGATGAATCACACTGTTAATGCGGCTGTTGTGGTTTGTTGGGTTTGTTACATATCATTTAGGGCCAACTACTTCACGAAACATATGTTTAAATATATGAAGACCCCTGTCAGACCTATAAGAGTTGACCAATAAGCACCTCCCTTCTCCTCTTTTGCAGCCTGCTGCTACCCTGACTTGAGTCTGGGATATATCTGTTGCTTCAGTTATTTGCTAGTTTTACAAGAAGTTTCAATCCTTCTGATGTCCGGGAATTAAAATGAAACTCATAGAGATGCTTTGACATATAGAGAATATCCACCGACTAACAAAGGGATGACCTAACAGGACTCACACAGGGAAGTCTTGGGGGATCATTTCTACACAAGTTATTATAAAATTGGATAATCGCTTTCTTCTTTTGTAAATCTTATTTTTATATTTACGATTTATATCATGCTTTTTCAGTTAACTTAATGTCTTGTGTATGACTGTTTTTATCACTGCTTTTGTCTTGACTACACTTTTGTGGAATTACATTCAAGGATTTCCTGTACAAACATGGAAATACAGAAATATATATATGTGTAGGTAAATTAAATTGTTATAAACTTTCAACATCCTTTGCAGAAATCTCTAACTTTGAAGAGTGAATTTATTCTAAGACACATCTTTCTTACTGATACAAGCAGAAATTGTTTGACCAGCTGTCTCATTCCCTGTCTGCACAGAAAGAAACCTCTGCTCAGCAGGTTAAAACACCTTGTCATTAACCACGAAATTCAACCTTTTATTTTGCAAGATAGACTCCATAAAAAGCTCCACAAATAAACAAGGCAAGCAGGGGATTGACACAAAGCAGTAGGGCTAAGTCAAGGCAACATTGAAAACTATTATCAGAGGAGAGAGGCATGAGGAGAGGTCAGGTTCAGGCCTAAAAGCTTGAGGGAAGAGTGAGCTGATCGGCTAAAAGCACAAGGTCTTAGCTTGGTTCACAGGGTTTCTCTTGAACGCACAACTCTCTCCGTGACACAACACTCAAAACCCTAAAGATCTGCAAAAAAGGGGTTAAAACGCACACATGGCAAAAAGGAACAGGAAGCTGGAATGTTTGTATCTTCTTTACTTGAAAACTTGCACTTGAGTTATAACTTAGTGGAGAAAAATGCATGAACTCTGGGTTGGTTTAGGCCTCCAAAAGTAGAGAATTTACAGACTACACAACCCCAAATTTCCACCGCATTGGGAAATCCCACTGGATCTGTTTGTGAGATTAATTTTTGT